CTTGTCCATTTGTTTCAGAAATCTGGTGTTGGTTTTTCTACCTTTTTGGATGCAGGTGGACCCCTCCCTCAAAAGTACAAAGCCTATTCCATTCTACTATTGTTAGGGGGTTGAAGAAGAGAGGAAAAATTCTATGGAGATGTGTAAGAGCAGCTGTATGTTGAGCAGTTTGGGAGGAAATGAACCAATGGACCTTTCATGGGAAAGAAAGAAATAAAGGTGTAATTACTGAATTAATTTCTATAGGGGTGATTCAGTGGGCTGACTTTGTACATTTTTGAAAACTATTCAGAAGGAGATATCATCAAGAAAGTGGAAAGAAGTGGCTTGGTCAGTTAGAAGGAAGAATGTAATTCACCCAGTTTGGTCCCCACCAGCTTTAGGGTTCACTAAATTAAACTTTGATGGAAGCARCGAAGGAAATCCAGGTCTATTGGGTATAGGGAGAGCTTTCAGGGATGATGAAGGTCGAATTATCGCATTGTATTCGGGTCTTATTGGCTGGGGGAACTCTCTTAGAGCTGAAATATTGGCTGTTATGGAAGGGTTAAAAAGAGCTCAAGAATTAAATATCAGAAACCTAATAGTGGAAGGTGATTCTAATTTGACTATCAAGTGGTTAATGAAAGATGATTCTAGTTTGTGGAAGTTTCTAAATGAAAAGAAGAAAATTAGATATCTCATACAAAATATGGAAGTCAAATTTCAGTGGACTAAGAGGTGTGCCAATTCCTTGGCATTCATTGGCTAAACAGGAAATCTACTCCAAAGAAAAAGACCCAACAGTTGTTTGTCTCCTCACTGGTGTGTTCTCTGTAAATCTAATGGTGAGTCGAGATACCATTTACTAATTTCTTGTCAGTTTGTTAAGGTTATTTGGGAATGGTTTACTTCTTTGTTTGGATGCAGGTGGACTCCTCCTTTGAATGTGCAAAGCTTATTTACTTCCATGCCCAACTAACCAACCAAAAGGGCCAAGATCATGTGGAGATGTGGTAGGGCTGCGATATATTGGACTGTTTGGGAGGAGAGAAACTCAAGGATATTCTCAGATAAGGAGAGAAGTATGGATGAAATCCTTGAGACAATCCACATCAGGATGATACATTGTCTGAGAACATTGGAATTGTTTAAAGTGTTCTCAGATGATGAGATGATAAGGAGCTGGAAGGAGATTGCAGAAACAGGCTCAAGCAGGAAGAACATAAACTTTTGTTGGACACCTCCACCTCATGGGTTCACCAAACTGAATTTCGATGGTAGCAGCATAGGCAATCCAGGGCCTTTTGGAATAAGGGGAGCAATAAGGGATGAAGTAGGAAATTCGTTGACTATATACTCTGGTCCGATTGGGGTAGGAGACTCTTTGAGGACTAAGATTCTAGGAGCTATTGAAGGGATACAAAGGGCCAAAGAACTGAATATTAAAAAGCTGATTATAGAAGGTGATTCTGAAATTGTGGTGAATTGGCTAACAGAGGACAATTCTATGCTCTGGAGGTACAACAATGAAAAGAGGAAATTCAAGTGGCTCACCAAGGACATGGAAATACATTGTACATGAATAAAGAGAATTACAAATGCATTGGCAGATGGTTTAGCTAAACAAGTGTAACAAGAGTAGTCATCAATAAAAAGGATAAAGTACCTGTAACCCCCCATAGTTGGCAAATGATATGACCCCCACACATCATAGTGAACAATATGAAAAGGAGAAAGAGATCTTTTATTGCTTACTGAATAAGAATGTCTACAATGCTTTGCCAGTTCACACAACTCACAATGAAGACTCGATAAAGACACTCCCTTAAACATGTCTGGAAACAAATGACTCAAAGCAGAAAAAGACAAATGACCAAACCGAAAGTAACATAACAAGACATTGTCAATAGACTCTGACAAGACTTGACTCTAAGGCAACTCCATGAGGTGGTCCAAAAGCTCTATCCAGTGTGTCCAGCAAATATATTCCGTTCGCCTCATGGCCACTCCCAATCATCCTCTGAGATTGCAGGTCCTGAAAAACACAATGAGTGGGAAAAAATGTTATGTTACAATTCATGGATTTAGTTAAGTTGCTAACAGATAAATGGTTTGTATTAAGTTTAGGGACATGAAGGACAGAGGATAAATAAAGGGTGTCAGAGGTCTTTATACCCCCTTTACCAAAAATGGGAGCAAGAGACCCCTCAGCAAGGGATATTTTCTCTTTATCAGAGGGAAGGTGGTATGAGTAGAAGAGATTAGACAGGCTGGTCATATGGTCTGATGCACCGGAATCAATAATCCAAGGGATTTTATGATTACCTGAAACTGAAGCATGATTTGCAGAAACACGAATACCTGAGTGAGCAAATGCAGATGATGATGATGTGTTGCTGGAAGAGTGAGATGAAGAAACAGTAGCTTCCATGTGATTTAGCAGCCTCCCATACTTTTCAAAATCTACCTTCATTGCTACCAGTTGCTCAATGGTTGATTTTTCTTCACTCTCCTTATTTCCTCCTTCAGGTATTGTAGTAACATTAGTTGTCGTAGGCTTTCCTACCTGACTGCCCTTCTTAGAATTGTTGTTATTCTTAAACCTATCAGGAAGAAGCTCAAGATGAAGCTTCCAGCAAGTGTCCTTTGTATGTCTCGGTTTCTTGCAATATTCACATATCTGCTCCTTTTTCTCAGTAGGACCCTTTGGCTATATTCCAGCATGTGCAAAGTATTCTGTAGGTAGACTCTGTAACTGAACCTGCCGCCTATTCTCCTCACTGCTTATAATAGCGTATGCCTGGGAAAGAGTAACCTCATCTTTGGCTAGGATATTTTGCCTAATGATGTCAAACTCAGGGTTGAGTCCAGTAAGAAATTCAAACACCATATTTCTCTCCACCAACTTCCTATACATTTCAGCATCATTCTTAATTTCCCATACATGTCTCCATAATATCAATTTCTTGCCATAGGGATTTCAGTATATAATAGTAGATTGCTACACTCTTCTCCCCCTATCTTAGGTTCTTCACGTCACTTTTCAACTTGTAGACTCTGGCTACATTCAATTTCTGTGAATAGGTCTCAGTAACACTGTCCCATATCTCCTTAGCCGAAGACATCCAGAGACAACGCTGACTTATATGAGGTTACATAGAGTTGACCAACCATCCAATGATTGTATAGTTCTCCTGCATCCATTTCTCAAATTTAGGGTTTGTCTCTTCGGGTTTCACTTTACTACCTGTGAGATACCCAAGTTTTCCTCTGACTACAAACATGAAGATAGAGAAATAACACCAATAGCCAATCATGGACTCATGGACACTATAATGTTTTTGGGTAAGTAAATAAAAAAGAACATTTTATAAACAAAAAAAGAAGATAGAGAATACAACAAAGGTGATAAGAAATGTTGATCAAAAGAACAAAGTTGATAATAAATCATCTACACAAAGAAAAACAAGCCCCAAAATCATCCTTCCTCTGAAAAACCTTTGGACACAAACACCTTTCCCCACCAGACCTACAAAATCAGAACGCCACACAACTGAAAACCCCTCACCCACACAAGAAACCTAACTCACACCCACCCCCAGTTCCATATGCTCCTCAACCAACAGCTTCCTAAATAACAAATGTCTGCGCAAGAAATATCAACCAAAACTGTTCTTCTTTTCCAGCTCCATGAATATTTTCTTGCAAATTCTTCTCCTCCCAGAAAAAAGAGTCCCAACATTATGCTTACTTGAACCTCTATTTCTACTGTCGTTTCCAAACTCAACTTTTTGGATGAGGACTGGGTCTGGGTGGTAATGAAGTTCAAAAACAGCAAGAAATTTACTGTGGTGGAGAGGTCTTCGAGCAAAGGAAGAGAAGGCAAAAATAAGAGGAAAGAAGGAAAAAAGCAGAGAACTGAGCAATGGGGAGAGGACAAGCGCATAGGCCTAGTTTGGAAGTTGTTTCTCAGAAACAAGAGGAGGATAACTCGACACAAAAAGAGGAGGATGGAGCTCAGTAAACTGCGATACAGGTGTGAATGTCGTACAATGAAGCTCCTGGAGTGGTTGATGATACAAGTTCTGAACAGTCGAGTGTTTCAAAGGAGGTTGTTGCTATGGCATTAACTTCAAATGATTTAAGCTCCAAGCCAACTATCATCAGTGAGGTGAGTTCAAACCCTGCAATGTCTCTCTTTGAGTCTTTGAGTTGGGAGAATTGAGCAAGGAAAGTAAAAAAAGGGAAGTGAGACTTCTTGAAGCCAAGGGTAGGGGAGGAAGGAAGAAGAGGAAATCAAATAGTGGAGGAGGTTTCCAGTCCCAACAGGTGTATAACAGAAAGAGATCAGTGGTGCAGGGAGGCTGGGGTGCTAGGGATATTGGGGAAGAAGTGTTTGAAGAGGGGGAGATGGATGAGGGAGTTGAGGAGATATCAAAAAGCAAATGGGTAAGGAGAGAGAAGATGCAGAAGGGTATCAGAATTTGGTGAATGGAAAGGTGGACATTGAGAATTTGGTCAAGAGGCAGGTAGAGGTTGGAAAATTCCTTGGCCTCTTTTTCCTGGGAGGTGAAGGGGTGATTAGGAAAGCATTTGAGCATTTTGAAAGGTAAGAAAAGATGAAAGTGAAAAGAAGAAAGCTTTAGGAGCCAGGGTGGGGTTTGGGAGGAAGGAGAAGGGAGGGAAGACAGTTTAGAGGGAGAAGAATAGTGGAAGTGCAGTGGCAGAAAGCTGTGAGGTGGGGGAGGGGTATAACAGGGATGAAGTTGCTGAGTTGGAAAGGCAGGGGTTTAAGAGAGGAGAGGAGGGTGGTGGTGAATAGTATTCTGAGAAAAGTCAGGCAGGATTTGGTGTTGCTTCAGGAAACGAAGCTGGAATCCTTTGATATTAGTTTATTAGCTTCTTTTGTTGATGTATTTTGATTTTTGTGTTTTGCTTGTGGGTGTTGCCTTAACACCCTAGCTGGACTGTACTCTTCAACCAAAAATATGGATCAAGAACAATAAAAGTGAACAAACCTGAGCTCTTCCAAGGAGAATCTATTCCTCGGCCGCCAAAAAGAAAACCACATATTGGAATGATCAGTAACATAAACTAGACATCAGCAACCTGATAAACAAAAACATATAACCACATAAGTATTGAGCTAACATGGAAAAAAAAAACATATAACTAAGTTCTTATATAATCCTGCTTGGCTAATTATTGGTACACTATGGTCTAACAACCACAGAGAACTAGGATTAGAGTTGAAGAGCACAGCCCTAACACCAGTCAAAACACCCAGAAAATAGTACCCCTGATATGGCCAACGAGAAAGCAAAGGAAGAATAGGAATTACAGAACAACCGGCTCTGATACCATGTCAACAAACCCAGAGAAGAATACAGAATTCTGGGGTGAAGAAAATGGATGCTTCAACCCTACCCAAGGGTCCTTTATATAGATAATGAAATTAGAGAACTTAAAGAGAGGCCCTTGTAGGGCAACAGATATTAGAGAATTTACATAGAGGCCCTTGCAGGGTTGAAGAGAAAATAATAAAATAAGAGATACAATACAATAAGAACTACAGTAATATGGTACATCAGGGAGTTTCTTCACAGGTGTCCCTACTAAAACATTTATTAAGAAAAATATCCATGCCAAGAAAAAAAGGAAAAGGAAAAAAGGAAATTCTAAGATGACAGAATAAAAGGAAACCAAACCTGAAAGAACTTCCGAGAAAAAGAAGCCTTCAGACCCTTCTTCCTAAATGACTGAAATGTTGGCCCTAACATCCCTAGTGTAAAAATCTGGAAGAAACAACACATGTTGATCAGATAACCAATAAGCAAAATTAACACCATCTTTTTGTTTTTTGATTGATACAACTAACACCACCTTCCTAAATGACAAAATTGAAATATTCAACATTGATCATGATTACTTTGTTTCTTCTAAGACACCCAAATCCACAACTACCAAACACATGGTTACATAATTTGACGTGTCAAGTAGAACCTTTTCTGGATCAATAATAAGAATTAATATCCTAATAAGGGGTGAAAAAATTATAGTCAAGTAGAATTTGTTTTCTATATCCAATATTTATTGTGGCATGTTTCTAAGAAACATTCTTGGCCATATTTTAGTATCTAGGGTCTGCAAAAGTAACATTCTTGGCCATATTTTAGTATCTAGGGTTTGCAAAAGTTAAAAGGACAAAAGCTAAAAACAGGCTTCAAATTTGAAGCAGACAGTAAGGTGAAGAAGAATGTTAGAACATATAAATATTGCATAAGTAACAAAATATGTTCTTATTATGGGGTTTGGACCATTAAGGGGGGAACTGGGAAAGGATGTAAAGCATGAGACTTTGGGGTACACAGAAGGCACTAGAACCCGCAGACTTAAAAGAATATAAGACAAATACAGGAGGAGGCAATTTAACGAAGTGTTCAAAGAAAGAAATAAAACATTTTGAGAAATACGAATCCGACAAGACTGAGAACCATGGCAAATAAACCCCTTATAATCTGAATTATACCCCCACAAAAGAACACATATCAGCTTAAGATATAAGCTTTGTGCACTCATAGGGAGGAAGATGAACAAAGCACAGACAACTGAATATACATGAAGTACAAAGAACTTGAGGGGATAATTAAACAAACTTTGGAAAGGTGAGATGTTACCATGGACAGACAAAGAAAGCAAGTTGATGAGATAAAGAACAGTTTTGGCCGCCTCCACCTAAAAAGTAGGTGCATGGGAACAAGGTCCTTGTCACACTCAATGTCTGGCTATTGTGACCCTGATTTATTGTGGGGTACCCAGGTATGATCTTTATGATTGAATCCCCTATTCCCTCAAGTAGGTCTAGAACTCTCCAAATTTCCCATCAAAGTACTCTCCCTTAGAGTCTGAACGAAGTATTCCAATTGAAGCATCAAATTAATTTTTAACCAAGGCCTGAAATAATTTAAAAGTAGGAAAAAAACTTATGATTTCTTTTGCACATATATGTATGTATATATGTATATAGATAGATAGAGAGATAGAGAGATAGATAGATATGTGTATATGTGCGTATGATTTCTTTTGCAAATATATGTATGTGTGTGTATATATAGATAGATAGATAGTGAGTACAATTGTTAATGCATTGAACAAAGTATTTATATCCCAACCTCAAAGTTACAGGAGACAACCAAAAATCACTGTCTTGACTTAAAAGGAGTAGTGGCATGTTCAACTAAAGAAGGTGTTGAAGATTAATTAGTTTTATGATGTTTTTCTGAGTAGATATTTTATGTTAACTGTTAGATAGGAGGTGGGGACCACAGTAGTTATGTGAGTCCAAATTTTATTATGTTTTTGAGTGTTATATAAGCTGTTTTATGTTTTCCGGCCCTATAAGGGCATAGTTGCCTTTGTACTGTTCTATTATTTTAGTATAAATAATAAGTGAAGGGGGCGGCCAGATTATTGCTCTCTTTTCTTTCCAACTTCTCTTCTTCTCCTTCTCTCTTCCTTCTCTCTTCAAGAAACTACTTTTCTTTTATATTTTTTTTTAATTCAGCAGATTTCTACTTGGTATCAGAGCATCGGCTAGGGTTTCTTGAAGCATTCTCATGCAGCCCTAGATCAGCCGACTGCATGAAGTAGTAAAGGGCTGATCGATCTACTATAGATTGCCCAGCTCTTGGAGTTTTTTGTGGGATCTAGTCATCAGGAAGGTGATCTACTATTTGGCATCAAAAACAGGAAGAACTGGAGTACGGGGAAGAGTCCCAAAAAAGTTGGACTCTTTGTTTTTTATCTGATCTTGGGCGCCCAGGTATTGTTAGTTTTCTTTTGACTTTCTAAAGAGGGTGGTTTGGTTTCTGGAGTTTTCTGGGCCTCCCAGAGTGATCGATTCACTTTTCTCTCTATTGGGAGGCGTGGGGAGAAGAGAGATTTCCCTCCAGCTAGGGTTTTCTTCTTCCAAAAGGGTTGGTTTCTATGTGTGTGATATTAAATTATTTTTTGAAAGTCTCCAAACTATTTTTTTCTTACTGTTGAACTGTTGGGAAGTGAGCCATTGTAGAAGGTTAAACAACTACGAGAGAACAATCAGCTTAAGCTGCTGATCCAAGTTGTCTTTTTCTTGGTTGATGAAATACTTCTCAGGCCGGTGACTGATATAACTCAACTTGTAGAATCACGTTTGATCTAAACTAGTTGCCCTGTAACAACATTGTATGGTAAAAAAAAAAAAGTTTTGCTCAGTGTTGTCACTCACCTTTCATTACTTTTCTCTCCTGTTCAGACCCTTCTCTCTCATTCCCAAGCCCCTTCTACTTGTCCCATTCCCCATTTTATAGTGGATGGATCTTATTATAAGAGTCTACCCAATTCAAATTTGAATACCACGTATTAAAAAGGAAAATCCATATAATTGATTAGGCTTCTCCCCAACATATCCCTAAGCCAATTAATGGTAGAGATAGGTTAGCAATGTCAGTGAAACTTGTGTCAATGCGGGGGTTGCAATGGCAGAGGTTGTCCAATGATGAAATGGGTGGTGTTGGGGGGAAATAGAGGAAAGTTTGGCTCTAAAGTAGCTACAATGGAAACATCATGGTTAGTGGGGATAGGTTGATGATTGAGATGGTGATGACAGTAGCGATTTATGGAGGAAGGGTGAAGAGAGAAAGAAGATGTTTTTTTTATCAGCAACTCAAAGAATTTTATTAAATCTTAAGATGAGAGATGTACTACAAGAAGTTGTTAGGAATAGCACCCATTACAGCAAAGAATCCCACCACCCAACCAACATTGAGCCCAAAACAAATGATATCTATTCACTCCATGTTTAGCTAATCCATCCGCCAAACCATTAGCAGACCTCCTAACCCATCTTATTTGAATTTGCTTATGTCTTGACAGCATCTTGAACCGCCTGAAGTCATTTCTGAAATGCCATAAACCCCTTCTCCTTTTCTCAGCCAGCCAATGAAGAGAGGAAGAAGAAGGTTTCTTCTATCTGCTAGGGAAAATCTGTTTTGGGTGGTGCTGTAATCTGTGAATTAATTATGGGGTCTATGGGGTCAGCACTCCAGTAGTGAGTGTTTGACAGTTGTACTCTTATCTTTTTCAGTAATGAAAGTTACTGCTTCCAATCAGAAACAAAAAGAAGAAGCTTTAGCTACTTCTAAAGTTTTGCTATATTCAAATGACCAGAAAGGAGAAATCATAAACAAGGCTAGTCAAAGAGGCCATGAATCAGATAATTTTAAAAGAGAGTTTGCGAGAAAATAGAACAATGTGGGAAGCCTGATGTCTGATGGGATCATCAACTTGTGGAGAAAATGTAAATTTTGGCAAAGGCAATTCTTATAATTTTGAGAAGTACCACATATTAAGCATTTCATAGAAAATACCCAATAGTATAAGGAAGTTTTTCATACTGGAATAGTTGAATTTTCCAATTGCATCACCATACCTATTTACCAAGGAACTCCTCAACCAAATACATCAGCTATAAAATGAAAATAAGAAAAAGAAATACATCGTTTTACTGCCTTTGAGGAGGTATTGGATAATTAAGAAAAGCATCTTCTAATGATTCCTGAACTCCTTTCAATACAAAGTGTAATAAGCCACCATTTGCTAGATGGATCTCTTCGGCAATATGTTAAAATAAGTGATTTACTAGGACTAATTGATGCTATTTCTAGCTACTAAAGCCATGTTTCCATTGGAAAATACCTATTGATCACTGAGTGTCCCACCAATATGCACAATTCTGGATGACGATCAACAAATTGAAAGGCCTTGATTCATGAGATGATTATATATCTGTTCTGCTTCTGCATAACAGTGAAAATCTATCAATCTCTAATTATGAATTATCAATTTCTTAATTGGAGCTTTTATTACTCTTGGTTTTTTTTTCCAGCCATGGTAGTTGGAATTTGGAAACCAAATACCAATTTGAGAAAGGGAATGAGAAGATTAGCCAATGCAGGTCTGTTACGTGCTTTCTTAAACCAAAAGAGGAAAAATAGGAAATATGGTATAAGGCCACTTTGAAGGAGTTGGACTCCTTAAAAACTTCGAGGGTATTTACCCCCCTACAAATCCTTCTTCATGCATAACCCAACTCAAAAACACAATAAAATTACAGAACCCATGAAGCTCAAACAATGAACTCATTCTCCATTCATAACTCCACTCAATAATACAATAAATTTATATAATCCACGAAATTCAAACAACTAACTGACAACCTAAATTCACTTACACATGTAGCACCCCACTGACCTACTAACTCTCTGACCACTTAACAATTAATAAAAAAATCAAAAAAAAATAAACAATAATTAAAGAGACGTAGTTTAAGAAAACTTCGAAGGGACTCGCCCCACTGATTGCGATTGTAACAATAACCTGCACGGTGTTTCTTTTGATAAAATGAAATTCAAATTGCGTGGATGTAGAGTTAACTGGACTGAGCATTGAAGGAATTGAAGGAGAAGAAGAGGAAAACGAAAGGGGGGCAAGCCCTTTGTTCTAATCACGAAGATAACATCTTTCAATATTTACCCAGAAAAGAAGAAAAACGAGGAGAAGGATGGTCAGGAGGACGGAGTTACCTGAAGCCGGCCTCTCCTGATCGCCTGGCATCGATGTTCTTTCCTTTCCTCCACCTTCACTTCCGATCTCAAACAACCTCACAAGAACCATAGTGATTTCGATCCATTATTTTGTCTGTTCTTCTTTAATTTTTTCCTATTACAATTTTGCCCATTACATTTCTGATCCGACCGTCATACATACATACCTTCCTTTCATTACATGGCCATTGGCCACCACCTGCGCTTTTAATAAATTTAGCACGAACTCGAAGGCGAAAGGCGTACGACTCTAATAAGCCTTGTGTCCAATACATGAGGCAGCTGAGGTAAGCCAAAACGAAACGCCTCGCCTCACGCTTAGAACATGGGTCGGATCGGGCTCTCGCTGGTAAGGCTCAGTTAAGAGTACTATAGAGTTGAAAACCTTATATTTTGTATTATTTATTTATTTTGTATGCATTTGTATTGTATATATTTGTATTTGTGTTCCTACCAAATTAAGCATAAGGAGCAAATGTTTATGGAAATTTTAGAAGATGATCATGATCATGTTGATGATAAAAATAATATGTTTTCAAATTTATCTATAGTTTTTACATTTTATGTATATAAAAATAATTAGTATTCATAGCACTTAATTTTGTGTAATGATATGAGAGTTGTGTCCAAATGTTTTTTGTTCTGTTCTTATTTTTTTAATTTTTATTATTTAATTATGACAGGGAAAATCTATGGTGCTAAAAAGATATGATATGGAAAGAGTTTTGACCAATCAAAACCCACCCATGAATTTTGATACATTAAACAATGTTCCCTACCACATTTATGATTATGGTTTATTGGTCAATTGCTTTTTAGATATCATATCTTTTCCATATCATAGTCGAACCCATTATGACATCAAGGGTTGAATAGTTACCCAAAAGATTTAATTGTTAACCCACCACCAAACAAGAAAACAATTTCATTTTTTGGTTATTTTGAATTTTTGATTCCATCATGAATAAAAAATTAAAAACAATTTTTGTTCATTACACTTATTTTTCTTTAATATGATTAATATAACATATTAGAGATGTACCTAAAAGTTTTCTACATAATGTATATATTTTTTATCATTTTTATGTTTTTATCTATTTTTAATTTTTATTATTTAATATGAAAGGTTGAACTATAAACTTTGCACCAAACAAAAAAACAATTTCACTTTTGCATTAGTATTTTGTTTCCATTGTCAATAAAAACAGTTCTTTTTTTAGCACAATCGTTTTTCTTTAATATGTATAATATAAAAAATTAGAGATGTATCCAAATATTTTCTAGTAAAATTCTATATTTTTGTACTTTTTTGTGATTTTTGTATTTTATTATTTAATTATGACAACAAGGTTTAATACATTACCTAAAAATGTTGAAGTATTTACCCACCACCAAATAGAAAAATAATTTCATTTTTTGTCAATTTTAAATTATGCATTTCACTTCCATCATCAATAAAAACAATTCTTGTTTATCACACATAATTTTCTTTAATACGGTCAACATAAAATATTTGTAAACTTCTATATTTCTTTATATTTTTTGTGTTTATCTTTTTTAAATTTTTATTATTTAGTTCTAATGTCAAGAGTTGACACATTTGATCCAAAATTTTGAACTATAAACCTACAATCAAATACGAAAACAATTTCATTTTTTAGTTAGTTTAAATTTTGTATTTCATTTCCAACATTAATAATGATAAGGGAAAACAGGATATTTTGCAAGTGTGGGAAGAGGTGTGTGATCCGGGTGTTTGAGACATGTTATAATCCAAATAGATATTCTGCAACTACATAAATTATCTTCTAAGCATTATAACATTTTCATATATGTATGGGTATTGATTATAAATTGGTAGTCGTGTTAATATTCATTGTATTTGACTGTATATGTAGGGGAGCACACATACACCATACAACTTCTTTCAATGATCACACAGATGATTGTAATGGAGCCAGTCCATAAATGAATTCTAGAAAAAACCATGTTGGGGAACTTCATAGGTTGATAGGTGATCTTAATTGTCGTTTGAGGTCATTGGAATCTTTTCAAGAATTAATTATGAAGGGATAAAAACCTTGCATATCTTAGGCATTGTATTTATTATTGGATTCATTTCTTTATATGTGTAAGAAGTAGAGCTGTGATGCATTTGCTCAAATTTGGATATGGATTGTTTTGGATACATTATACTCTCTAAGTTATCTTTTGTTTCAAGTGATTATGAATTTTAAGATGGCGTACCTGGATACGCACTTTATCTTTTTGTCTTAAATATGAATTATCCTCTTAAAATTCATGTTTTACTGTTTTCCCAAAATGATGAATTGTTGTAAATTGGCTTGGAAAGATTCCACTTAGAATCATAGTTTCAAAATTGTAAATCCAAATTGGTTTGGAGAGACTTCATTCAATATGGCAAACAGTTATTTGACTTATTTCAAAATTGCAAATTTGATGATGTTGAAATCATTAAATTATTTCAATATCCAATTCGCTTGATGATATCAACATCAAGTTTTTTTACTTGTTTCAAAATTATAAATCTAAAACAACATTTGATTCAACATCAAGTTTTTTGACTTATTCCAAAATTGTAAATTTGAACTTGCCTGATGATGTTGAAATCATCAAGTTATTTCAACATTCAATTCACTTAATGGTTTCAACATCAAGTTATTTGACTTGCACATCTTTGTTATTTAGAGCCATCTAGAAAGATCATTTCAATTGATTAAGATGCCTACAAGTTAAATGCTTTTAATGAATAGGTCTGTCGATTTCGATAAATACATGATGTTGATTTAGAGCAATACAAATGTAATATTTATTTGCTTTCTAACTATCAAGATCTAGATAGATACATGATATTGAAATGGAAACACTCAATCTCTAACAAAAAATCATTTTCCCAACAAAAAGACAAGATATTACAATTTATAAAATAAGTTAGCATATAGAGGTATTTTGTCCTTTTTAGTATATTTATTCAAACATCAAATATAATTTAGAATTATGACAGTAAGGATATTAGGAAAATACCTTTTGTTTATTTAAAATAACTGTCCACCTATGCTCATTTGAGCCTTCATTTGCTTTAAACAATAAAGACAAAAACCAAGTTCAAGATTCTCTAGTCTTTAACTCTTCAATAGCAAAATCAATCAAGAATATAAAGTTATTCCCATCTAAAGCAACTACTGATAGTATATTACCAAAATTAGGTTGCTTCAAATGGCAGCCATCAAGCCCTATAAATGTGCGACAACTATCTATGAAACCAACTTTTATGACATTAAAACACACAAATAGTCTTTAAAATTGTCCGTGTGAATCTTCCTTGAAACCAATCTTTACTATATTCCCTACATTTGAATTAACAACACATGACAAGAATCAATCAACTTCTCATATTGTTCATTCACTAATCCCTCAATACCAATAATTGCCTTCTTCTTGGTTCTATATGTTGTTAACCGACTAATATCAACTCTATACACTCTAAGGTCTCACTACATAATGCAGGTGCTTTTAAATCTAGGTCATGTATGAATTTATTCTTATACTTTTTTACAAGTCATGTTGCACTTAGCTTATCATTCTTTAAAGTCATTGCACATCTACACTTCTCTGTTAAGGATTTGATTTCATGGGCTGCAACATGCCCAACACATCTTGGACACTTTCTAAGAGTACCAATTCATCATTAGAATCATATCTTGGTTATCTATAAAAACACTTTCCATTAATTTACATACCTTCAACTCTTTCATTATTGTATCTACTTCAATAAACAACAAGTCACCATTCAAATTATTACTCATTGACACCTCACCACCATAGTATATTAGTGGTGGTAATTCATCAATGGGGCCCCCATGGTGGATGAAAATGGTAAACATCTGCAAGAAAATTCAATAAGAAGGATAGCTAAAAATATTGTATAATAATTGTTTCCCAACAATTAAAATACAAAACAATCAAATTATTTTATCTAAAGTTGTGTGATTGGATGCATTCCCAAACAAAAGCCATTTTATTATATCTTCAATGCCAACTTTGATCCGATTATCATATATTTGGATGAGGTGTTTATGTAATCATATTTAGATTTTCAATCCATATTTTATTAATAATAAAAAACAAAAAATATAAAAATAAAAAATACATAAAATTTGTAGAAAATTTTGATTATATTGTTACTATCATTATCATCATCTATAATTGCCACGTACAAAACACGTGCACACTTACTGGTATATAAAAAGCAAGGTTATCCGTGTCACATAACCTATCCTTCTTAGTGGATATATTCTTACAATCTCTTTAATTCTCCATCCCTTCCCCTTCCTAACCTTCTCAGTGGACCAAATCAACACCCTCTCTCCTCTCTCCTATGGTTTTGCTTATATAGGATTCTCTCCATAGCTTAAGTCTCCACTCACGTAGCATCTTTTCTTAATTATGTCAATAAATTTTACTTGATCTCTCTCTCTTTCTCTCTCCATAATTCGCATCTCTTATCTCTCTACCCACATAACTTCTCTCTTTAATTAACTCAATATATGTTACCCTAAAATCTCTCTCCTAAACTATCTCTAAGACTAACTCCTTAAATATCTTTCTCTAATTAGTCCAATACATTTCACTTGGAAAATCGTTTTATCCCCTTGCTCTCCTTTGTCCATTCCCTTAGGCCACATTAACAACTCTCAATGGTATCCATAATCATTAAAGATCAAAACTTGCTTAACCTCTCCCTTTCCCAAACCGAGTAAGAAACTTTCCAAAAAAACTCCAAATGGATACCTTCCTTGCACTACTACCTTCTTAGTCCCTTCCATCCCAAAACCCGCATTCTCCTAGTCCCATATTGGAAGAAAACCATTACAAGGGATTTGCTATATTCTCCCTTTCAACCTATCTTTAACTAATGGAGTTCTTTTAATATCATTTAGGAATCAAGGTTATCAAGTTCTCGTAACACCTTAGTGGCGGTCCTCACGAATTCAAAGAGCCTCCCCTCTTTCTCATGTTAACAAGGTGGGTAGAGCTTTGTTGTTTCTGTTCACTACCAATTACAATCACAATCAAAACAAAGATTGGTCTTGAAACAATTAAATAGGAAACACCACCCTATTTTATTTTATATCTTTAGTTGTAATATATCATATATC